GTGTTGATCTTTATACATATATATTATACAGATATGTGTGTTGATCTTTGGGGGAAGTGAATTTAGTGGCGGCTATGGTAGGGCTATGAAATGGTGGTTATGGGTGTGAACAGGTCGTGGTGGCTGTTGGTTTGGTTTATTAGTAGGGCATTTTGGTCAATAAAAAGGAATTGTATTGAATAAATTGATAATTGAATGTGTCGATGGATAATAATGTCAATTCACCATGTGTAAGGACCATTGAGGTGTCTCAATTCACCATGCGTCATATGGTTGGTGTCAAAACTTTATCAAACCTAGTGTCATGTTAAAAAATGAGTCAATTTGTATTTGGTTGTCAATATAACAAATCACTGAGAGTGTCGCTGTAATTTACACTAATTAAGAAGTACAGGTAAATAAAATAAAATAATAAAAAATTGATAACTACCTAATTTTGACTGACTTAGAGGGAGGGATATTTTTGTCCATGTAAATAGTCTAATTAATGTAAACTAGTAATTTTATTATTTAAATACGTCAAGAAACAAGTCAAATGACAATAAATTCACCATAGTTTGGTGTCACTGTAATTTACCTTAATTAATGAATATGGTAAATAAAATAAAAAATGGATAAGTACCTAATTTTGACTGACTTGTGTTATTAAATGGTATTCAAGTCCATAAATGAAACAAAACCTTTTATCACTTTTAAATATGACTTGCTTGTGAAGATATTTTTGTTTGACTTAGCGTCTGTTAATGGCACACGCCACCAACATATCGACAGAAATCAAGTTCATTTTATAGCGTGCACTTCAAAAGGTTCAGTTACTTTTATGTCCTTAATTAATCATCCTTTTATACAAATGTGAGGGTATTTATGGTATCTCATGAACCTAAAATAAATCAAAAACAGCTTTTCAGCGAATTTATTTAATCAGACAAGTGTCATTTACGTGCAAAACTCAGCCACATGTCACTCCCCTTAACATTCTAAAATATGTAGTGCAATTTAGGATTTAATCGTATTAATTATTGACATAAATATGACACGAATATTATACGTGTAATACGAAACGACACACGTAACTCACTTAATAAATAAATTAAGATTTGACACGAAATAATATGAAAAGACATGTTTAAGTCATTTTTTATACAAATATGACATAATTATTTTACACGCATAACTAAATAGGTCATTTTTTACACGAATATAACGCATTTATCTGACACGTTTAGTTTTTTTTTTTTCTAATTAGTATTCACATGTATTTGTCTCTTCTGAGACTTGACCCCCTGATCTCCCTTTAGAAAGTAAGAGATTGATACCGCTAGAGCCATTAGTCGTTGGTTAGTTAATCGTGTTATAATGGTGTTAGCATAGTCAAACACAAACACAACACGTCTGGTTAACAGATCAATCTGCATTAACACGATTACGATACGAACACGATTAACCCAAATCCAAACCCTCTTATCTCGTATCGTGTTAGCATGTTGTGTCAAATATTGCCACCCCTAGTGCAATAAACAGTGGCCTAATCAATAAAACTCCGTGTTTGAGTCTCCTTTCTTACTTTGTCACAACAAAAAAATCATTAAATAAAACAAAAATTAAAATTTTATAAAGTATTTTTCTCAGCTTTCCTAAGCATTCTCAAAAAGGAGAAAAAATTAAAAATTAAAAATTAAAAAAAAAAACACTTTTCCAGGCATTTAAAATAATATATATATATTAGGGTCAAGACTATAAAACACTTCTATAATATGTTTAGTGTACATATCCCACCCCTAAAATACTCTTAAAATTTTAATTTGTGCAAATAAGTCCCTCCTAACGCATATAAGGTACAGTTTACCTAAATTGCCATATACACATTTTACATATTATTTAAAAATACATATTTTGTGAAAATTGCGAAAATGGACACAGCAAAATGACGTCGTTTAACACATGATAGTTGTGATATGCACTGTAAGCATATTATAGGGGTGCTTTTTGCACTTTATTCCAAAAACTATTATTGTTTTTGAATTCGAAAACCCATTTTTTGCAATGTAAAGAATTATATACCGATATATATATATATATATATATATATATATATATATATATATATATATATATATATATAATGAATAAGATTACTTTATATTACTTTATCTTAGATTTCTATTTGAGGAGTATTTTGGCACAATGTTAGAAGAATTAGGAAATTATTAACACACTTTTTCAAATAGAGAGTAAAAATATTACTTGAAATATGCATAGGCAATGTTTTCAGCTACTCATATTAATTATAATCAAATAACTTTAAATGGCAAGGGAAACCATATACCAAATAAGATCCATTAAGTTGTGGTTCTAATAATAGAATCAACCTAATGCACTTAGATCTTGTAGCACTCACCAATGAGGCTCTATGATTAGTATTACAGATAAATTAATTATAGACATTATAGATAAATTAATATTTGATTACGCAATCCAGCTTATTTAATTAAGTGCGTTATTTTAGATATCACTCAAAATATTAAACGTCACTTAAAATGAGATAAAATTTTAAACTGAACACGAAAATTTAAAAATATATAAAAAAATATTTATTTTTTTAATTACTACTTAAAAACTTCAGCACTTAAAATTCAACTTTTAAAATTTTTCATTACTTATTTTTCAATTTTATCAAATAACACTCGTTTAAATTCGAGAAAGTATTAAATAGTTGGAACTATAGTACCCAAAGCAATGGGAGCCATGGATCATGAATGTGGTGATAGGCCCACCACATTCAAGGGCCGGAATGATATGGGATAATGGTAAATATTTTCTCCCATTCTTTGTGAACAAACTTGGGATAGATAAAATCAGTTCAAAATCATGAAAAAAAATTCTAGGGTATTGCACAAAATATACTTCTGAGTAATTATCCAGAGATCTATATGGATAGAGATTATTATTTGTGCAAATATTAGTTTAAAAAAAAAAAATTATGATCCTGCTAATAAAAATAGATATTAAAAAAAAAAAAAATTGATACATTTAGTGAGAATTTGTGATTAATAATCTCCCTACTTCATACAGCAATGATTAATTCTCTGCTTGTCGACACCAGCCCAAAATAAGGGCTCGATCAAGTGATCAAACACAGACTTTTGCAGGAACACGTGATGCACGTGCGGACGCGATGCCATTATAAAAAGTAACACATTCCATCAACCTGCCACGTTGCAGCTAACCAAAAAGAGAATCTGCCACGTTGCTTATCAGTCCCAGTCAATGTAATTCTTTTTGGTTTCAGGAATATCTATAAATCATGATATTATGCCACCGACCAAGAGACAGCAGTGACAGCACGGAGTCTGGTGTGGATGCTTGGGGCATATTCATAATAATAAATGGATATATTTTATTTTAATTATTAAATTATAGACAGTAATTAAATTATTATACAAATAGTGTAGACCATCGGTTAAAATCTAAGTATTGTTTTCCGAATAATATATATATATATAGAGTAAAGTTTTATTATTATGAAAATATATATATAATGCCACCCATAAAATCTTTATTTTTTAAAATTATTTCTTAATTTTTTATTCCTTTCTCTTTTCTCTTTAAATTCCTTTTTCTTTTAGAAAAAAAAGTTAAAATTTTCTTTTTGAATCAAAATTTAATTATCTCCTGTCAAATTTCTCTCAAATTTCTTTCATTTTTCTTATATTTGTCAAGTATTTATTTATCTTACATTACTCATTGATTGACATATTATTTTACAGTAATTTATTTATTTATTTTAATATTATTATTATTTTTGTCTATCGATTTGAAGAATCTATAATTTTCTTGTTACTGGCTAAAATTATTTCTTAATTTTTGTATTCCTTTTTCTTTTTCTCTTTAAATTCCTTTAATTTATTTTTAAAAGAAAATTTTAATTTTTCTTTATTGAATCAAAATTTAATTGTTTCCTTTCAAATTTCTCTCATTTTTTCTTTCTTATATTTATCGAGTATTTATTTATTTTATATTACTCATTAATTAGCATATTATTTTACAGTAAATTTTTTTTTTTTTAATTGAATTTCTGGCTCTGCCTCTGGGGATGTAATCTAATGAATGTCACGCTCTCTTCTTTCTCAATACAATGTCTAACATTGGTCTTTGGCCAGCAGGATAAATATGAAATGGAATTTTTAACTTTGAATGCTAAAATACATATATAATATATATGCTATGGATAAATAAAAGATTACATTTTTTAGACCGGATATCCAATTAATAACAAAATCGAATATGAATTTAAGAATAAATAATTCGTCAAGTTATCCGGTAGAATCGAATCATATATTACTTTTCTCGATTCAGATCAGGCTTGATCCGACCCGAATATATTCATTTACAAGCCTAATCTCATCATTCCGGTTATACAGAACTATGTTATCGACTAAAATAGTAATACCCTCAAGAGAACTATACAATCAAAATTCATTTAGGTTCGGTTCGGTTCAATTGCATGAAATTAGAGTCTTAAAATTGAAATTAAGGAAATTTGAGAAAAACAACTAGAAAAATTGAATTAAAATTTCCTCAAATTTCAATTCCAATAATTTAATTCTGTGCAACCGAACACACCCTTAAGGTATATTGCATTCGTCTCTCACTTTCACTTTTTTTTTTTTTAACCTAATTTGATAAAAAAAATATATTGTTATTGACTTATATATTTTTATTTTAAAATATTTTTTAGCTGTGTTTTTTTATGGTAAAATTATTTTAATATATACAGCATAATAATGTAAATTTTGTGCTATTTTTTGTACTTAAAATGACCTAATTTTAAATAAGAATTACCGTGAGGCAAGCTCGTTGTACCCTTATCCATTTAAAGACATGCTAAGGACATGTGTCCCTTAACTCCGTCATGAACTAACGGTTTTTTTTACAGAAAATACGACAACAGACGGTGACGGAATTGTGGAAACCGTTTAAAACGACCTCACACTGTCACACACATTACACACACTCGGAAGGAGAAGAATCAAACAATTTATCTCTCTCTATATCTCTACAAACACGCGCACAGTGGAGGTTCTTTACCTTCTCTCTCTAGCTTTCTCTCTTCTCTGGCGGCTTCGCGATACAACAGGTACGGTGCGATCACGTCATTCTCCAGATTTTCTTTGTTTATATATACGGAGACTTCATGTATGTGATAGACGATATGTAGCCAACTGTTTGATTGATCAAAGAAAAATTTGGGAAAAATCGCAAGGTTTTCGAGAAATAATTGGTGTTGTTTTGATTGTGATTTCTGTTTTTTCGCAATTAATTTCGGATCTCTCAGACCTGTATGTTGTTTGATTCCTCTTCTTTTCGGGATTTGCGACTTAGACTCACTCTAAGTCGATCCCCTGCTAAGTAGCAGATCAAATCGACTTGAGGTTCTCTGCTTTTCACACACACACACACACACACACATATATATTTGGGTTTTTTTTTTTGGTTCTGTTTCCAGTATTGTTGTTTGTATTCGTTACTTGTGTGTGAACACAGTGGGTTTTTTTATTTTTTTATTTTTTCAAGTTTGATTTATGTGGTGAGTGTTGGAAATGGAACTGTTTAGTCAGATTGGTTGAATATGTTTTGAGTGAGCGGTAATTGTTGAATTGACTGTCATTATTGTTCTTGAGTTAGAAACTTTGACCATCACATCTGGTGTTGTACGTACTAATAATTTGGGTCTTTACGGAGTATTAAAATCTAAAATTATTAGAACTGGAAACATGATCATCTTATTACCAGAAATTGATCTTTTTATGTGCTGGTACATTAGCTAGCAATTTTGGTTGTGTTTGGCCTTTCTGTAATTTGGGTTTTATATTTGCTAGAATTCTCAGCAATTCAGAATCCAAGTTTGTTGTTGTGAAGAATATGTCAGTTGTGAGTTTATCCTATAGTCTCATATGAAATATTCATATTTTTTCTTTATCTTGGATTCTGTCCTCGGGCTAAATGTATGGTGATTGTTACTTGAATAATGGATAGAGTTTTGGTTCAATGAAGACTAATTTATTATAAATACAAATTTCTTATCTTTTCTTCAATATATATATATATATATATATATTCCAATCTCTAACCATTTTTTTCCCTCTAAATCGCATAAGATATTTAATGCTTTTATGAAATCGCAAAAGATATTTAGTGCTTTTATTAAAGATTTCTGATGGTATATTTATGCTTTTCATGCTTATCTACCCTTGCAAATGAACATTATAAGGTTCCATCTGCTATTATTGTAATATGAATATATACATGTTTGTTTGAATATCCATGTGTACATGCATACATGTAATTCCTGTTGCTGTGTAATTGTATGCTTATGATTGTTCATATAATCAATTTGCACACTGGTAGTTGACTTGTTTTATTTATATTCCAGAGGATTAACTAGGTCTTGTTTTTTGAGTAACAAAGCTGGAATTTTTGGTGCAAGTGGTATCAGCTGTGAAGTTTTAGTTATTGTATATGAGTGAGCATGGGGTCTGCTTGTTGTGTTGCTGCTAAAGACAAAACTATAACGAACGTATCAAACAGCGAAGGTTTGCACAGGACTGTCCAGTATTCGCCATCATGGAGCTTTCGGTGGGACAACCGAGGGCGTGTAGCAGGAGAAGAGACTTCTGTGAAATGGTTTAATGGGGTCAGTGGGAATGATGGATTGGAAATTAAATCAGGAACCACAGTGGAAACTACATATGGATCAGAAGAGGGAAGCCCATTGGACAGTTTGCGAACAGTCACGTGGCAGAAGTCCCCAATTTCTGAAGGCAATTCTGGGATTTTGAGGCTTCCTTCTTCAGGTAATTTCCTACATGAAAGGGCATTGTTATAATTGTTATAATCAATTCTTATCTTGCAATGAATCTGTTCATAATGAGAATCACAGGAAGGGAATTGTTTAATTGTAATAATCAATTCTTATATTGCAATGAATCTGTTCAAAATGAAAATCACAGGAACTCTTGTGGAGCTGATTTTTTTCTTTTTTCTTTTTTCTTTTTTCTTTTTATAATTGATACACGGGAGACTTGCACGGCCTTTTAAAAAAAATTCCCAGTTTTCACAGTGCATTTTACTATCAAAATTTCAACATTTGATATGTAGATATTGTGTTATATACATTCTTTATAATTACTTCATTTTGAGGACTGAAGTAGTTTTACTTGTCATTCACTTTATTGTTTTTGGTTAGCATGTTTTTAAGAAGCTTTAAAAATACTCATTTTTTTTAGTTACATGGCAGAAAGTGAACCATTCTGGTTGACTATTAAAAATAATAGAATTTAAGGTTTACTTGTTGCACTTCCATTCTTGCATTATTTTAGGCCAAATATAAGAGCTATTATATCTCCTTTGGAGCATTTTAGTTTCTCCTGATTTTTGGAACAAATATGACTAATACCTCCCTTTCTATGAATATCCAATTATTTGCGATCTTAAGTCATCAAGATTGGGTATCGTTTTACTTCATGGAGACTCCAGATTAAATAATTTTGACCAGTATAGAGTAAAAAAGCTGGCCATTTGGATTCAATACCCTCCTCCTTTTATCTTATAATGGTGAGATAGCATCCAAGTGATGAGAAGAGATGGGTGAAGTTTTTGGTGTTGGCATCATTAGTGAAATGCAAGGATTAAAGAGACCAACCAAGTCACACAATAATGAAAGCATGAGATAGGAAAGATAAGGTGTAGAAGTTTTGAAAGCACATGCTCCGTATCATATGAAAGAAGATGATCCTTACTGCAGTGATCCTAAAATTTGACCAAGGAGAACCCATCCTATAATATTTAGAAGAAAGGAATTAGGATAACGATGTTACGGTATTCCCATGTGCATGAGTCTCTCTACTTGCTGGATCAGATCCCACCCATTAGGTTACAGACCATGTTTTCTCTCAATTTTACCTCATGCCACAGGTTACTACTTAAACTGTAATACAATGAGTTCATAAATAGTTGGTTCTTATGCTCACAGTATCAAGTAGCTGACTGAGAAACTACAAACATTTTTTTCTATCGTAAATTAAAATACAGCTTTAGTGGAGTGAAAATAAGGAAAAGGTTTTGATGCCTGTGTGATGCATTGGTTCACCTTCAAAAGATCATGGTCTCGGACAGTTTAACCCCTCCAAGTGCCTTTGGGATTTTTTTATGCCTGTTTCTGCATTGGTTTTGTTACTATTGTTTTAGCCCTCTGAAGGTATTCAAATCAGTGTCTTTTTATGATGTTAACCTTCTAAAGGTAGTTGTTTATTCATTTATGAATGGTGATGCTAGATGAATGATCGAGATGTAGATTAATATGTTCAGCAATAATACTATTGTGTTGATGAAATGTTTGTTCTATTGTTTGAGAAGGCAAATAATGGCACTGTCAGACAGATTTTGGAGTGTTTTGTTAGTACCCCACAGGTAGATTTTTATGATTGATAACTTGAGGATGAAAAATAGAGATTCTCATTAATTGTTGTTGTATGTCTAAGGAGGCGGGGTAATGGTGGACCATCTCGTTACTCATTGCAGAGTCTCTATGGAGGTTTGGTCTTTGTTGTTGGCATTTTCTGGGATGTCTTGGGTTTTTCCTATATAAGTGGCAAAGGTTCCTTCTTGGTTGGAGAGGTGGTACCATGGTAATGTCAGGAGGATGAAAAAGAAGACAGGAAATGCTGCCTCATTGTTTGATGTGGACCCGTGCCATATTAAGGGAGAACAAAAATGGCAATCAATAATCATTCAATGGGGTATACAACTAGATAACTAGATCTGTGGTTTGATGAGTGCCGTTTTGGGAGCTCTTTATAGTTTGGTTGACTGGGAGAGTGAATCCAGGCCTTGAATTTTTTGGGATTCGATAGAAAAACTGCACTCTTTTGTTAGTATATGATAATATTTAGGGTTTTCTTCTTCTATACATAGTTTTTGTGAAGAACATGTGGTGTGGTGTGTGCCAGTTTTTTGTGCAGGACGTGTGATGTGTTGTGTGCCCCTATTGCACTTCTTAATGATATCATTTACTTAGAAAAAAGAAAAAGACAAGCATCTCATTTGCTTGTAGCTTGCATTTGTTTCTACAATGATCCCTTGTTGTTCTTAATGTTGCATGTACTGCAAAATTATGCGTGTTCTTAGTCTATACTATCTTCTTAAATCTGAAATAATTATTATAATCTGGTGTGATGCTGCATATATTGATTGTTATTTCTCATAATTACTCCCCTCCTTGTGCTTTAGGATGACTGCCCTCTTAAAACTGGTGTATAGTTCTACCTTTTTTTTTTTTAATGCAAGAGATGACAGAAACAGTATTAGACACCTTCGTTTCTTTTCTCTCTCTTTTTCTTGTGAGTTTGTATACAATTAAATGTTATATATCTATATTTAAGTGATTCACTCAGGATGGTGAAAGCATAGTGTCAGTAAGAAATATGGCCTTGGTAGTCTTGCACGGGGCCTCAACAGTTGCCTAAGTAGGACCTGCTGCTTTTCACATCCCAAATTTATTTAGCTTACAATATCCAATATGTCAGTAGCTTACCATGTGGTGCCGTATTTGATACCTTTCTACTTATCTATTTCAGGTCAATCAATCTCCAGAAATTTTTCTATGGGGGTAAGAGCAGAAAAGCCTGAGTTTGTTCTAGTAAAAGATGTAACGATGCATTATGGTGTGCTTTGCAATCTGTGGCTTCATTTTCCTGTTTTCAATAAGTATCCCATATATGCTTTTCTTTGTTTGCTTTTTAGGTAAAAGAGTTGACAGAATCACCAGCAGTTTTAGATCAGTCTCCCATAAAACTGTCACCTTCGGTGCGTTCAGTTTCATCTTTGTCCACATCCCCTTTGTCATCTCAAAGTCACATACTTCCTGCAAGCTCAACTCCGTCAAGGTTACCCCGCCATTCTCCCGGATACCAACTATTACGGCAAGTATCTGATAGCCAAATTCCAGGATTGAAATCACCAAACTTATTGATTTCTGAAGAAGTTTCTTCTCATGTTTTCCCTGGATGGAGCAATGGATCAACTAGGGGCTCTTATGGTGGGTCTTCGGATGGTTGGTCCATCCCTGCTGTCTCTGAGCTCATGGCAACTTCTCGTAAAGAGAGATGGTCTTTTGATAGTGAGTCTTTGGGCATCAATCATGACAAGATTATCGGATCTAGTGGTGGAGTTTCAGCTTGTGCCTCCATTGATATGCGAACTTGTAGGTTTTGCTCAAAGCTCTTAACTGAGAGATCTCCTTGGAGTAGCCAAAAAATTATTGGTACTAATGAGCTTGCTGTGGTTGCCGTTCTTATTTGTGGGCATGTTTACCATGCCGAGTGTTTGGAGAATATGACACCTGAAATCAACAAATATGACCCATCTTGCCCGGTCTGTACTTTTGGGGAGAAGCAGATTCTGAAGTTGTCTGAAAAAGCATTGAGAGCAGAAAGGGACTTGAAGTCTAGAATTAATAAGAGATTTAGGAACCAGATCAGTGATAGTGATATTAGTGGTGATTCTTGCGTGTTTGATCGCCAGAAAAGTAGTGGATGTGAGGGAAAAGGTGTCAAGATGAGCTCAAGTTCCAGCATGAAGAGCTCCTTAGGGAAGCCTTTCTTGAGGCGCCACTTTTCATTTGGATCAAAGGGTAGTAGATCGATGTCAGAGAATCACTCTACACGAAAGAAGGGTTTTTTTTGGTCCAAATCAAACAAAGAGTGATCTCTCTTTCTGGTCTAAGAGGTGAGCATGTATGTTTCATACATTAGTTGTTCTTCTCTAAACCTATTGCTCAACACTTTTTTGCTTCTTCATGCATTAGTAGCACTGTAACACTGTAGTTAGTAAACCATGAAGGTCCTTCAGAGACCTTGTGGACAACAATGTAATTACCAAAATTACGAGACTCGGGTTTTCTCTAAATGCAGGTTCCATGATTGATCATTCTGTTCAATCTCCGCTGGGGCATACCGTTGGCCACTGAACTACGAGGGATGCATAATGTCACTCATCAAGATCTTGTCAAGATACATCTGCATTTGAAGTGGGAACAGGTTACCTGGAATTACACTGTAAAGAAGGGGAGACAATACGGTATAGGATGGGTCCATTCAAAATATACACACACATATAGAAAGAAAAAAAAAAAAATGGAAGTTGTAGAATGGAAAATTAATCACGAGACCTGTTATCTTCTTATTTTGTTGTACATTTTTATTTGTTCATTTCATGGTTAAGTTCATGAATATCCTAGATAAATTCTGTATGGCTTCCATATCATCTATCTGCTGCCAAGGAATACCCTGCCCTATCTTCTTTGTGGGCTTTTATATTATGGCAAATATGTTAGCAGATCATTCTAGTTATTACCAAAAAGGGGTATTATAGCAATTACTCTCTTTTTATTATTATTATTATTATTATTATTATTATTATTATTTTGAGTGCCTGTATTATTAGTTCCAATTTGTTGTACGTCTCCATAGGGCTTGAAAAAATCTCAACTTGAATCCAAATTCTAACTCTGCATTTCTTTGGGTGAATTGCAAAAGATTATTAGTGAGTTGCGAAAAATTCCCTATTAGTTTTTGGCAAAAAAACTCTCTTCAATTATCCCAAGAGGGTGTTTTTAATTGATGTCCGTTTAAGTGATTGTTTGAGGAAATTTTTTGAACTAAATTATCCCCCCAACCCAACCCAACCCCCCCCCCCCCCCCCCCGCGGGTCAACCATGTGAAGCAATAAAGAAAGATTTTCAAGGCAATAAAATCATATTTAAGCTATGTATAATTAATAAAATAAAATTGAGTACAATAGCACGGGATAGGGAAGATGGAAAAATTAAGCGGCTCAAGAACTCCCATAATATTTAGTAATTTGCAATGTTTCCTTAGTCCAATTTCTTTTTTTTCCTTAATTGAATTATATTAACACAAAGTAAGCAAGTGGACTAAAATTGGCAATTAAAAAGCAACATAATTTCTTTTTCAAATCATTTATTTTAATTACTTGGATAACATGAAATTCTCCAAAGTAACTTTTTGAGATAAAATTGTTGTAACTGATGTACTCAAGTTAAAGACATAAAAATACGTCATTTTTTTAATGTGAAAGGACATCATTGCCTTCTATTTAATTAACAAGAATCTAATTATAAAGGACATTTAAGTCAGTTAGTTTGAGATAAATGTATTTATCATCTCATCTTATATTGTTTTGATTCCACCACCTTCTACTCAAAAATTGTTTTGATTCCACCATCTACTACTCAAAAACTCTTATTATTAAGATTTTTATTTTTATTTTTTTTAAAGATGGTAAGAAAACCAAAGAAAACATAACACTTTTTACACGCTAATGATTTGTTCAATTACATGGATATATGAAATCATGACAAATGATAATAATAATAAAATAATAATAAAGTAAATAAATAAAAATAAGTCATAAATTAACGAATATAGCTGAGTATTAAGGGGCCTCAACTATTATTTACATGTACTATATCATGTTGTCAAAGTAGTGTTGAAAGATAAATTTTCAATAATTGGGTTTATCGATATGTTGTTAGCTTTGTGTTTGAAGGAATGAGAAGGCTTGCTTGACGCGACGAGAGAAGAGAGAAAAAATAAATAAATTATTTGAAGAATAATTTGTTAAGGGGTAATTTTGTTCAAAAAATTCTCTCAGACAACCACTTAAATGGACATCAGTTAAAAGCACCCCCTTGGGATAATTGAGGGGGATTTTTTGCCAAAAATATTCATAAGGGGATTTTTCGTAACTGGGTAATCGTAAAAGGGGTTTTTTTTGTAATTCACCCCATTTCTTTTTATGTTTATATCTTTAATGCCTTGTTTGTTTGGAGGGATGGAAAAATGGACGAAAGAGAGGGGAATGGATGGATAAGTTTAATAAGGATAAACTTGTTCCACATCAAATCCGAATGGAAAAGTGAATAGGCATAAATGAGTGGATATGTAGTACTACCCAATAGCTTAAACTTTTGGGTAAATAAGTAAGCGTCCACCCGTTACAGTTGGTATAACTTTTGGGTAAATGGGCAAACGTCCACCCTTTACAGTTGGTATAACTTTTGGGTAAATGGGTAAATATCCACCCATTACAGTTGGTATAACTTTTGGGTAAATGGGTAAGCGTCCACCCGTTACAGTTGGTATCAGAGTCAGACCTAATCATTGATCTGGTGTTACGCTAAGCATCGGGCCCGGAGGGCATCTGGGTCTGCACCTCGTGTAGGCAAGATGGCCCGAGCCGCAACGAGGGCAGTGCGAGTTCGGGTGGGAGAGAATGTAACAAGGGGAGCTTGTCCCATATCGAATCCGGATGGAAAAGTGAATGGATACAAATGAGTGGATATGCAACACTACCTAATAATTTAAGTTTTTGAGTAAATGAGCAAACGCTTACCCATTACGACAATACATCCTTAGGGAAGGGAATGCGTCACTCTTATTTTTTGTTTGATTGAATGGAATGGACAGTAGAAATGATGAATAGGGGATACTTTTCTTTTTTGTTCGGTTAAAAAGGAGGAGAATATAGTTTCTATATTCTTTTTACCAATATACCATCACTTTATAAAATTATAAAAGATAGATATTTATTTCAAACTTTTTGAAAAGGTTAAATTTGAAAATTAATATATGTAAGTAGTCATTAATTTTCTCTCCTCTCTATTCTTCCCAAAATTGGACGGATAGAAAAACATAAAGAAAAGAGGGATGCTCATTCCTCCTTTTATTCCTTTTCCCTTCCCTCCAACCAAACACGAAAAAGTTTTCCCTCCAACCAAACACGAAAAGGTTCATCCATTCTTCAATCGTTCCCTCCAACCAAACATAGCATTTATATATACGAGTTGAATGACCTCAAGGCCAACGTACATGTCAATCTTATTCTTATTATTCGATCATTATTAACTTATTTTAAAATAATATATATATATAATTTATCTTATATTAATTCCTTAAAAAATTAAAATAATGAGAATTTGTTTGTAATTATTATTATTTTTATATATATAAAAATTTACATTCAGTTTTAAAAAATTTCATGCATAGGAATAATCCAAACTTGAGAAGTTGAAAGTAACACGAGATCAACCCAAGCTCTCTCTATATGAGCTTGGCTTTAAAATTTTGAGCGTGAGTTGGGTTTGAGTCGGAGAGGTTGGGACAGAATTGGTCCCTTAACTTGCATTTCACTTGAGTTGCGCCATTAAATAAAGGGTGAAGTGCAAAAAAAAAAAATCCAATTTATGAGCCAAAATGCAATAAATATCCTGAACTAAAAAAAAATTTCAATTAACTTCCTGAACTATTGTACTTCGTTGCAATTTACTCACTCCGGTCACGGGTAGATATTATTTGACCGTAATCAAGCACGTGTAAGCTACTTTTTTTTCAAATGCCCATTTCACCCTTGTCATACAAAAATACCAAAAAGCCCTTATTACCTAAATCTATTACCCTAATTTGTATTTGTATATATATATATATATATATATATATGGTTTGATATCTCTCTCTCTCAGCCGATCGTCTTTTTATCCGGCGATGGAGGGCTCAACGATGAGAGGAACGGCCGGCGAGGATGAATACGGGCTCGGCGGTTTAGGCTTTGGATGATGTCGAGGACTCAGCCGCGATGGAGGGGTCGGCTGTGAAGAGGTCGGCCAGTGATTGCTCGGCCGACTGAGCAGAGAATTGAAGCGGAAGGACGGCGGTGGGGAAAGGACGGCAGTGAAGCTGTGGTAGGCACGGTCGGCAGAGAGGGTCAAATTGCGAAATCTGGATAGAGAAAGTTGGGATTTTCTCGACAAAAAATTGGATATATTTTCCTTTTTCGCCGGTCGATTTGTGGGTAAACAGGGATTTGGGGTACGAATCGAGGGATCGGAACGAAGACTTGGAAACTCTGTTCATCGGAGTTTGGAAACTCCGATTTCGTAGGGCGATTCAGTTCATCGGAGTTTGCTGCGTCGCTGGCAGAACAGCTTGTGGGTTTGGTTTGGTATGGTTTTGTTCGCCGGAAGTTGCGGAGGTGAAACTTTATTGCCATTTGTTGTTGGCTGAAAGTTGCAGAGTGTAGTTCATCGGAGTTTGCTACGTCGTCGCCGGCGAGCCTGCAATCAAAGACCGAACAACCCCGACATGTCTTAGTTAAAATGAACAGAAGTGCCGGTGACAGAGCTATAGTAGCGAAACAATCCGGCAAGAGTGGAATTTCAGCGAAACCCAGAACAACGAGACTGAGACCCAGTCTCGTTGACACTTCCCTGAAGAAAAAATATTGTGTCAAATCCTCTTATTCATTAATCATTTATTTGGCTCCTCTGTTTTGTTCGAATTTGTTGATTTACAGTACATCACAAAAAATCATTGTTGGGTTTTCTATTGCGGATTAAGAATGAGCTTCACGAATGAGGATTTTTTTTTTCAAACCCACTGTGACTATATGTCTGTCTATGTTATCTCTCTCTCTCTAAGAATCTATATCAAAGATTCATCTCTCTTTAAATCTAAATCAGAGATTCAATATCCAAATAACTCTGTAACTAGACAGAATTCTTTGGAGGTGCTGCCAAGTCGCCAATGGATCTTCTATTCTGAGGGAGAGAGTCACCAATGGAGCTTCTCATTTCATACAGAGAGAGTACTGTAGTAAATAATATATTTTTGATTTGGACAAGAAATCTGATGTTTTTTTATTCTTCCTTTTAGAGGTAAATCTGGTTTTGTTTGATGCAAGTGATAAAGCAATGTGCTGTCCAATTTTCATTGGTCCATGAAATTATACTTTTTCACATTATTCACTTAACTTAAATACATCCAAAACTACGTCCTTTTACTAAGGGTATTTTTGTCTTTTTATTTTTTCGATCAAGTCTCTCGTGGGATTGTCCTTAATTACAACAAATTGTTAGTTCAGAAGATTTTTTTTTATAGTTCAGGAGGGTTAGTTGCAAATGGCATACTTTAAAGGAATTTTTTACATTTTACCCTTAAATAAATTTTGTTAATTGAATAAGGTAAGGCGTCAAAAAAAAAATCTTTTTATATAAAAAATGCAAAATGTAAAATGTAGAAATAAAAAACATAATTGCTATTTAATACCTGCATATAAACTCTTAACTTTTAAAAATATGTGCATATTATCTTTTAATATCTGTTGTAAAAGTGTAAAACCCAATTCATTTCAAACTTTTTTATATTCAAATTATACCCCAAATTAGTGATGAATTTTTTGTCGAAGATTTATACAATTATATTCAACATATTTTATGAATCTTATTATTATTTTTGATTTATATGTGCGTTTTATTTTTGAAGATGAAAAAGTATCACTAAGCTATCCTTTTAATAATACAATAGTGTTTTCTTTTGGTATTTTTAAACTCGTGACTTGTTTTAAGAAGTATGAACCTTTTTGTTTTTTTTAACTTCTAAAAGAACAATGCTTACTTCTTCGTTGGCGAGGAAGTACTTTATCTTTTTTTTGTTTTTTTAATGATAGAGTGACATGACATGTGTTTATTTTTTAATATAAAATATAAAAGAGGGAAAATTAAAGCATTTCAGATATTAATTATTCCATTTGCAAATTTAGTGCAAAGGTCAGTGACGAATAAAGTGGCCAACAAAGAGTACGAAAACATCATTCGAGTGGATGGAAAGTGACTTGCACAGCAACACATCCTCCTTGCCGCTGGAAGCCATTAGTGTGCAAATATGTTACATGCTTTCTAAAAACCTCCCACTACGTCCAATACCCACTGCGTCGATGACTAATTCGTTATTAGATAGGACAAAGAAAGAAAGATGAGAATAAAAGAATGATAATTTTTTTTTAAAAAAAAAAAGGTAAAGTGGAAGAACACCTATTATTTACTTAATGTGCCTTAAAAAATTTTTTTCTAATATTTTTAATTGATCATATAAGGACATTTTGAAATGTCAAAATACCTACAATGCTCTTAAGACAAAATAAAAATAAAAAATACTAATTCAATTTTTTAGCGTATATTAAGGGTATTTTGGGATTTTTAAAATAAAAAAATATTTAATCAAAATTGACCATTAACAAATATTAGAGAACAATTTATATATATATTTTTGGCAAAAATGCAAAAATTCCCGTGAAATTTCACCAAGTGAGCACTATACCCCATGTGGTATAAAAGTAAGCAAGTCAATCCCTATAATTTCAAAAGTAAACAATTTGCCCCTTTACATTTTACGTCCAACCACTTTCTTTTCATATTGTGATACACATGATTGATACTTTTTAGTTAATCTCAAAAGTACCATCCAATATGAATGTTATACCCCATCTTTTTATAAAAAGACTTTTGCATTTCTTTGTTCCAATCAAGCCTATTTTTGTTCTCTCCTTTCCATTTGCATTTTCTCTCTATGCTCCCCCTGTAGGACTTGACCCTCAATGTGGTCACGGAACCCAAAGGAAACAAATGCAAAAGTGTCGTTTCAAAAATAAACAAAAAAAAACCTAGGGGCAAAATGGTCATTTTGTAAAAAGTGGATTCAGGTGCTATTAAGCACACCACTGGAAATACAATGACAAATTAGTCAAGTTCAAAATTTTTTTTACTCAATTTGGAATCCGGACAGGGGAGAAAGGGGTCCTGAACAGTGAAAATGGCTACTGGAATTGATGATTTACTATACATTGAAGCTTCCAAAAGCCATCGGTCAACTTAAATGGGGTTTTAGTCACCTAAAACACCTCAAAAACCTATTGTAAGACCTGCTAGATGCCCAATGTGTTGAGGTTTAACCCATGTTTCAAATCCCCTCATGAATTGGTTAAAAAATAAAGTTCTCCTGTTGAGGAGGTCCTGCGGTCTTGTCTTGTGCCTCAAAACTACGGCGTTTTGAGGTTAGTTTTGAAGCACGTCAACTCACCTTATTAAAACCTTCCAAAAAATAATAAACTTATCATTATTATATTTATTTTATTTCTCTTCTCTTTCCTTCCATATCTATAGTTCTATTTTTTCCACCTCTCACACTCCCACCCTCTAACCATGGCCATTTCCATCTCCATCCTCTAACGATGGCCATCACCCCCTTCCCTCTCAACCTCCTACCACGACCCCCCTTTCAGCAACGACCATATTTATAGACGCGTATACTTTGGTAAGGCTATACACCTAAACATATATATAAATCTAATTTGAACAAGAATCAATATATCTATGCAAATATACTCTGAATCAAAACATATATATAAATACATATATATAAATCACATATTGTTCTTCTTTGTTAAAAATCCTTTAATTTTTTTCAATTAGTTTTCATCACGTTGATTTACTTTGAGGGTTGATTAATATTCGAAAAACAAAACAGACTATAAGGAATGGACAAATACTACCTTAATTAGTTTTAAATGACTACCAACTATACCTCTAAACGTCGACGTTTTAAGGCACATGATAAGTCCTCAGATTTCCACCGCAGGAGGGGATTCAGATCCCTCCCTCCAAGGTCAATTCATTTATATATATATATATATATATATATGTTCATGTGTATTTCTTTCACTTTTGTCTTTTCTAGCTACTAGAAGAGTATTGGGAACTAGACTATATCACAATATCTGTGATGTAACACGATATAGCTGATGATATAATAAAATCATGAAGGTACCTAGTCAAAGTCCCCCTTACATATGATTTGAAATGTGAGATTGTAAATCACTTTTTGGCCTCAAAAGCCTTCCTCATTCCTCACCTTAAAATAGTTTTCATGGATTTCATTTGCTTAAAATTTCAATAAGTTGCTAGTTAGTTTTGTGCTCTAAATGAATTTTTCGTCTTTTCACTCTCCACTAAACCAGACCATGAATACAAATGAGGAAGCATTACTAAAAAAAAAAAAATTACAATGAGGAAAAAGTTAATAGACACCTGTTCTCCAATTTTGTAGAAAATAAAGGAATAGGAAACCTATTCGGCTCGAGTTCACATAAACCAGGCAAAGGCGCCCCCATATGAGGAGCTACAACACTTGTCAATTTAGGGCCATGTAATGCCTCAGTTTATTATGAGGGCATTTAAGATATTTGTCTTTTTATATTTTTTATTAATAAGAGTTAGTTATGGATAATAGTTTGGTAAATATACAATGACATTAGACAGAAAATGGTCTGAGGTGAAATGTAAAGGGATAAATTGCTCACTTTTGAAACTATAGGGAGTAACTTGGTTACTTTTATACCACAGAGGGTATTGTGCTCACTTGGTAAAACTTGAGGTTTTTGTTTTTTATTTTTTGTTTTTCACTTTACCTATATTTTTTAACGTTAGGAATACATGGCATACTAAATAGGAGGGGTGGTTTTTATATATATTTTAGCACACTTGTCTACTCACATGTGAGTAAGTCATCTCGACCGTTGATGCACAAATAGTCAATTACAAAATTTGGAAAGTGATATATAACCAAATCAGAGAGAGTGACTGAATTTATTTATTTTTAAAAGTTATTATCTTACTTATCACTTTTTTTGATTTTGTAATTACTAATTATTTGTTCATTTGTGATTTGACCACATAAGCGGTACGAATAACTTACTCATTCACAAGTGAACAAGTCTTATACTATTTTTTATATAACATGAGCAAGTTTTTTTATTTTTCACTTTGCCCTTAAATTTTTATTGCCTTTTTTCATTATTAGATTAGAATGTTAACGAATTTTTTTTTTTTTCGTAATTGCTTAGCGAGATTATGAATTATAAGTGTTCTAAGGAAATTGACACCAACATCTAAAAAAGAAAAAAAAGGGGCAAAAAAAAAATTATACAACGTGGAGAGGTTTTAGTCGTCTGACTCGTCACACACTGACACACACACACACACACACACACACTCTTCCCCATTCGTCAATTACGATCGGACGGTGCAAAACCACGTCGACCACCATTCTTCGCAGGTCTCCATTACTCATATTTGCTCCTCTCTCTACTCTCTCTCACTCACTTTCCCGCCTATTTAAAATCTTCACTGCAAATGATTTCTCAATCTCAGTTTCTCTCTCTAAACCCCAGATTACTTCCTCTCTCTACAACACTTTCAACTCCAATTCAAACGAATCGAACCCCACCGCTCCACACCAATCTCTTCAATTTTTCCCTAAATCTTCCCATTTCTCACCGAAATCAACTCACTGTAACAATGTCTTCAAATTCAAATCTCTCAAATCATATAGAAAAGTGTAACTCAGGTTTACAAGTCGATCAAATTGATCAATTCACCGAAGTCGGCAACAAGCTCGCTGACGCCGCCGGCGAAGTGATACGGAAATACTTCCGCAAAAGCTTCGACATTATGGATAAAGATGATTTGAGTAAGGTCTTTTGATTGATCAGAATTTCTAGGTTGAGTATGGATTTGAATCTTCATATTTATTTGTGTTCTAATTGGTTATTGGTGCAATGAATTGGGTCTAGGTCCTGTGACTATTGCTGATCAAGCAGCGGAGGAATCAATGGTTTCGATTATACAAGAGGATTTACCTCATCATGCAATGTAAGTTGTGTGGGAATGATACTGTTATTCCAAATATATATATTTTTTGGTTTCTTTTTATGAATTATCCCTGTATTGTTGCCAACAAAATGGAGTAAATTGCAGGAAATGGAAAGAAAATACTTGAATTTTCTCTTTTCAGCTGTTTTATTTCCAAAATGAAAATTTAAAAGAAAATGAAATGCTCAACTAAGCTATAAAGCAAATAATTGTATTATGCTTCCGTTATGTTTGAATCTTTATTTTCTCATCCTGTGTAGTGTGTAAGATAAATACATGATTGAGTGGATTGACATCAATACTTTTTAACTCTTGGTTTGGCAGAGAAGTAAATTTTGAGTTATTTTTAAGTTCTTTTTGGTTCTTAAATGAAAAGGGAAAAAGAGTAAAAACGATTGAGTTAGCAAGGTGAAACTGTTTTATTAACCTCAATAGTATGACATTTGAAGATAATTTTTTCTTGGGTCTCATACAGGGGCTTTTGATAACTTCAGTAACTGCTGGAAATTGAATAGTTTCAATTCTTCTACTAAGTGCAGTTGATAATGCTAAGTAGTGGCTGCCACTTCTTTTAGAGAGATGCTGAAATATGCTCAGTGAGAGATGGTTGTAATTTGAATTGATAAATTTGCTTTCAGATGTTCAACTTTAAAAATCTTGTTTTTAAAGTTTTTAGTATTATTAATTTACCCTATTTTAGTATTATTAATTCATTGGTGAATTTTTTATATGTTTAAGATTCAATTTCAACAAAATACTATTTAGTAAAGTGTAAGATCTTTAATTTTTTTCTTTTTGGAGGTATATGTTTTATTTCCTTTCTAATGAACAAGAGTAATGGTAAAAAAATGTTATTTTTATGTTAGTTCTTGTATGTAAAGCCTTGTAGTTTTCTTGTTGATACTGGAATTTATTGCAGTTATGGAGAGGAGAAGGGTTGGAGATGTAAAGAGAAGTTTGCGGACTATGTTTGGGTTTTAGATCCAATAGATGGGACAAAAAGTTTTATTACTGGTATCGTACTTTTTTTTTTTCTTTTCTTTTTCCTTCTTTTCCTTATGAAGTTATTGTCATCAAGTTAACTCTAGAAAACTCTATCAAGGGTGGTTATATCTTTTATCATGTTTCAGGTAAACCCTTGTTTGGTATTCTTATCGCATTGCTACACAAAGGTAAACCGGTATGATCACCAACCACTTTATTGCATGCAAAAATGGGGGGAAACTATGCGTTCTTAGTGCATATGATGTCTAATTATTTGTGTTAGTTTACAAGAGAAGTTGGTAAAAGTGAATCTCATTTTATGTGCATTAATCAGTGAATATTTATGAAAGACGTCAATAGATTAAATTACATTATACACTGTATGTCCTGCTATATGGGGTGCTGGGAAGTGGAACTATTCTTGTACAAAGTGGTTGACTCAATACTTGACCTCGTGTTTCCAAGCTTGTCAATATGAATTTTCTTATCATTTCACCAAATGATAGCCCCTTAAAACCTCAATGGATAACAAATTGAAAAGGTATAAAATTTGCATACTTAGAAGCTCAGACATTTCTAAGGAGATCATGTCCATTTTGAGCATGTATCTGACACTTGTCATTTTACCAACACTCTACAAAGATGTGTATAACAAATCTTGAACATTGAGACTCGGCTTTCTTTTAGCTTGTATAAGATAAATACAATTGGAAGAGAAATCATATTAAAGTTTTATGTATTTTTTAAAAAAAAATACATAACCTTATTTATTTTTACAAAATAAAAGATATTGGAAGGTTTTATCAAAGCAGTTGGCATGGGAATGGGAGAGAAATCACTATAATTGTCTATATACATTTGTGTATGCACTTGAGTAATCATTGACTATTATGATTCATAAGTTACAAATTTTATGTTAAATTCATAGAATAGTTCGGTGATTTTTATTTTATGTTTTATAATTATTTATATCCTTGTTTCTGTATACATGCCCTACTTTTTTTGAATTTTTTGTATCATTGCGTCTGTGTTTTCATCTCATGTCAGCTTCACATCCCTAAACCTTGTCATGCTTCATAGATAATAGTTTCCATGATGTGATTTTCCACCTAACCTCTTTTTAGCATGATCAAATCGAATTAACACTATGTCCTTTTCATAGATACACTTAATTGCTCTACCCTTCTTAATCAACAATGTAATTTAATTAGAACAGCTTAAATTTGTAACAAAAAGATACATGGCTAATTAACTGCACTATTAAAAGGATTCCATCAAAAATAGAAACTAGATATTGGAGACATGTGCTCCACTCTTTAAAGTAACCTTTGTCATGAAAAGGTTAAATTTTATAGTGCTTCATGAGGGACTAAAGTAACCTTTCTAGGAGCTCATCTTATTAGCAAGTGGGCTGCTAAAGAAAAATTCTGTGATGTTGAGTGGAACATCTGGCCATCTTGGTTGTCTGTTGCCATTGATGGGGATCTTTTCTTTGTTTCTTAGCCTTTGTTTTTCTTAAGAAAAAAATAAAAAATTGAGGGACTAAGGGCCTAACTCTGGGCTTTGATGTCGAGTAAGTGCAAGACCTTGATCTAGATTCTCAAAAGCCTAGAAATCCCCTAGTTACCTCTTGACATAGACTTATTCAAGACCCAATGTGATCTCTTCACACTGTTGGTCAGTCAGCAGAGCTGTTCTCGGAATCTGCTACTCCATGGATTTTAGATCTTCAAAATTAATCGTCCAGTATTTGTGTCCATTGTGTAATTAAGCTTCTGGTGTTGATGTTACTTGAAGCACAATAGGTATTTATGATAAACGCACTCACCATACTAAATGCTTTACTTTTCTAGAATGCACTGAAAGTTGAAAAGCCTTATGCCTAGTTGCTTAGGAATGCTCTCTACGCTGTTTCATATTTTTCTAAAAACATACGAGGGGTACGTATAGATTTTAGGCCTAAAGAGAATAGGGTTGATAGTGTTTCAATTTAAAGGGGAAGCTACAATCCTTAGATTTCAATCGATTGAGTCATGTTTTGATTGATCAAAACATGGCCAATGGCCTTTGATGGATCCATTGACCAATTGAAGTAACCTGTTATATTAAGGTTTAGGATTTTTAATGTGTGAAGTTCAAAAACATCTTCATGCATTCCAAAAAGGATTGTAATGCATCAAACTTGAATTTTGAAAATCCTAATTGTAAGAATGCAATGTAAACATAAACCCTAATTGGTGATTGCATGAATGATAGTCAAAATGACATTTTTGTCCTTATCTATAGCTTAAGTTCCTACTTTGTCCTTGGACAAGAGGTAACCAATTAATTTAACGAACTCTGAGAAATACTATGTAAAAGTTAAAATAAAAATACTGTTATGACAAATGCCGTGAACCAAGAACAAATCAAGAGTCAAGCAAAAAAGTAAACATGGTGCCACACACAAAACAAAAAGATTTATGTGGTTCGGCGTAAAGCCTACGTCCACGGTGATGATCCGGCAAAAGATTTGACTATGCAAAAATCAAGTGATTACAAGTTTCAGTCCCCAAAGCCTAGCTCTCTTTCTCTTCCTTCTCTTTCTCTTTCTTGTGTTTTTCAGTGTTCTCTTGTGTCTCACTCCAAACCCTAAATGGCCTTATATACTGGGCTACAAAAGAGTCCTAAACATGGTCAAGACCCACAAGAGAAAAATGGATAAAAAACCCACACAAAGCCCATATTTTGGGTCAAAACTGGGTCGCAACGCGGTCCGAGCTGAAACAAAATTCAAGCCACAACATCACAAATACAAACTTGAGCTTTTGTGAAGAAATATGTCAACCTAAGTCGAATTAACCTAACACTTATTTTCATCTTGGCTACATAGAGTTGGGTAAGTGAATCGGGTGCATGTAAGTGTTGGACTGTCTCGAATCCCGAATCTTAGGAAATAGGGATATTAGATATATGTCCAAAAGTTGTATAGAGGTATGTAGTTACGCAAACAGTTAAATATGTTATATGTTATACTATAGTGTAATGCCTAATTTTTTTCTTTCATAAGATAATCAATTATTAATGAATTTAAATGGGAATAAGGGGTTTTCTTTTTCTTCCTCAATCATGCTACGTGAAATATCAGTGTCTGATTTGGATTCGTGTGTTCAACACATATCTCGTGCCCATATGTGTACTCGTGTTGTGTCAGAATGGATATGTGAAAGGGAATAGGAGAGTTCATGTAGCACAAGTCTTAACTAAGTTATTTGGATCAGTTTTTGTTCTTTGCGTTGCATAATTCGTAATGTCTTCTTTCACCTCTTAATTGTCAGAAGGTGTGGGCCTTCAATTGGGGTCCAATATTTCTAACGTTGTAATAAGGTTTTAGAACCACTGTTGTTTTGCTTCACCATTATACTATCTTTAAACAATTGACATAATTCAACAGTATCAAATACTACTGCAGCTGTAACATTTAAACTCTCACATCAATTTATCTTTCAGCCTAAAAGCAGAACACCTGATTCAAAAAAGTTCATGATACCCAAAAGTTTGGTTTGACAAGCTCCTTAAATGCTTATTTGTTGAATGTTTTTGTTTGAAAGTGCTCTCCAATCTGCTCTTGTTTTTAATATGGTAGTATAATGGGGCTTTTGGGAAATTCAACCAGGTTTACTGAGGATAAAATTGACTGGTTTTATTTCTGGTTTCCATTTAATGAAGTCAATTATTTTTGTGGATTGGGTCGGTTTTGTAGAAGAAATAAATTTGGAAACAGTCTTTTTCTCAAGCCAACTCATTGTTGGTTTTACTATGAATAAGATAATTCAATTAGGTATGAACTGGCTCCAACACATGTTATGAGTCCCAATCTCTATAGATAGGTATCTAACTGGTTAGAATGTATTTGAGATGGCTGCATATACTCTTCTCTTTTGTCTAGTTTCTTCTTGTGGTATTATTTGCCTTGATGCCACCATCACTGGTAAGGAACGTTGATTAGTTGGATATTATTCTTTAACCATCTAAATTTATTATATAGAGTTACAGATAGGCTAGTTTCCCTTTCTACAAAAATCTCATCACCTTAGAGCATCTCCAATGCCCTCTCAAATGGCCCAAACTCAAAATATAGCAAGTGGATGAAAATAAGGCACTCCAATGGGCTTTCAAAAGACCTCTCATATTTTGAGATTGTCAAAAGTATTGCCAAATTTAGTAGCTCTCAAATGGTCTCTCAAACTCAGAATATAGCAAGTGGATGAAAATAAGGCACTCCAATGGGTTCTCAAAAGTCTTCTCATATTTTGAGATTGACAAAAGTTGTTAAAATGAAAATAAGGCACTCCAATGGGCTCGCAAAACATAGAATGGTTGTTGTGTCAAAAAATAGCATTTTGGATGAAATGCACCATTGGAGCAGAATTACAAAAATATAGCATTTTGACATTGTAGCTCCTCTCAAAATATAGATTTGGTATGAAAATATAGCATTTTGCATTGGAGATGCTCTTATGGTCACTTATAATTGTGCTAGATGAACAAACTACATTGTCATCTAGTCAGTTATGTGTTTCAACTCTACTTACAAATAATATCAATTTATATAAAACATGCCTTTTTTTTTTTTTTTTTTCAGATTCTTGGCATTATTGATCAGCCCGTTTTAAGAGAAAGATGGATTGGTATAAGTGGAAGGAGCACTACATTGAATGGGACCAAAATCTCCACTCGCAATTGTGCAAAACTTTCACAAGCTTATCTGTATGTTATTTCTTTGTTAATATAATTTTTCTTGTGGGAAATTTTTTTAAAAAAAATGAAAAGAAAAGTCCTGGTGTCAGGAACTTTTTGTAGTTTCCTAGTAGTTCCTTAAGTGGTAAATATCTATTGTTTCCTTTTTCTTTTTCTTTTAATTTTTTGGTTCAGGTACACTACCAGCCCACACCTGTTCAGTGGAGATGCTGAAGTAGCATTTGCTCAAGTTAGAGATAAGGTCTGTTCATAACTATCTGAGTTACATCTTCAACAGATTCTATGAGTGCTGTTAATTATTAGTTGATATTAAGAACACTTTGTCGTTTTGGCAAATGAAAATTGATTTGGATTTATGATGCCATTGAAATATATAAGTATATTATAAATGGGACTTATCCTGGGTAATGAACATTTTTACTATAAATAATGGTCAATGGTATTTAAATATGTTATGCACTAACTCTCTGCTTTGGCAAATGAACACTTGTCTGGATTTATGATTTGACTGTTTTGGCTATGTATATGCACTACTGTCTGCTTCCATAATTCCTCTGAAAACCTCTTCTTATTATGACTACTTTGCATCAAATATGGAGATTTGAATATGAGGAACTCTGGTATGAACTGCTTCCATTTTGGTTTTGGCATTATTAAAATCCAAAAAGTGTAAATTCTTTCAATTATTATTTTTATTATTATTAATTATTAATTTTTTTTTTCTTAGTTGGTACTCACACATACATGTTTCCACTGAGACTCGAACCCCTGACCTCCCTTTAGGAAGTAGGGGCCCAGTACCCCATTGGTTTGGGCATTGTTAAAATCCAAAAAGTGTAAATTCTTTTAATTATTATTTTTAAATTTTTTATTTTTTTTTCATTGACAAGAAACATTCACAAACCCACTTTGCCCCTTTGGGAACCCTCACCATCCACTTGGGGAGGTACAGGAAATACCACTAGGCCACAAGGCCCTTGGTAATTCTTTCAATTTTTTTTTATTTATATGAATTTTTTTTTTTTTTTTTTGGATAGTCGCAAGTTAAAGTGTTTGGCAAATGATTTGGGCCTGAATTTCAATGTTTCTTTGTTTGATTTTCACGTCAAATTAGTTTCTAAAGAAAATTAACACGTGAACTCTAGATGAGATTGATATTTTGATGTATTGCTAAGCAATTTAATACTTCTGGTAAAAAAGGAAAAATCATAGGAAGCGCCTAAGAAGCACATATACTTCTAAGAAGGAGCTGTATTTGTGTTGCACGCTGACACTTTTGGACACTCATAACAGGTGTTTGACACATCTTAAATAGATATGGACTTAAAAGTGATCATTGGGGCAATCTTTTTTTATAAAGAATTCAATGGTTTCCGCACATGTAGTACGAACTCTAGTCGAAGTCTCATTATACATATCCTGAATAAAATTTATGAGTTTTATAGAAACTTGTTTTCTTTGTAGAGCCCACTCTATTATGTGCCTTCTCTAAATTGATGAAAACAATTTGTAAGTCTTTTCCTTTATCTCCTACATTTCTCTATATATGGCTTCCATAGTGGATCTACGTGGTATAATTCAAAATTGATTATCAGATATTGAGGTATCTCTCCTTAATCATTGTTTGATTATTCTTTTCCATAGTTCATTGTACGACTACTTAATTTAATTCCTCTATTTGCATCTCTTCTTTATTTTTATAACTCGTTACTGTGGTACCTTTTCTCCATTATCTTGGCATAATTTTGTTAAACAACTTTGTTAACCATTCAATTCTTATTTTTCCTAAAATCCTCCATGCCTCAGTACAAGTATGTTATCAGGTCCTATATTTAATATCTACAGGTCCTGTTAGTCTATCATCCTTTTCTTTCACTCCCACAGCTTTTTCTCTCATGTATCTGTCTACTACTATATGGTGGTCTATACCTATTCTGTTTCTATGATAATTATATGATTTATATGTTGTAATTTTCATGTCTGTCATAGTCCATGTATTTGTCATGTACAATATTAACATATATATATATATATATATATATATATATAGCGGTATCCTCATTGAATCCCATGTTTTTGAGATTTGTCACGTTAGCGTATTTCTTCCTTGTGTCTGTCCCATATGCATATCATTCATTAGATAAATTCTATTTTGATTATATCTGCATTTGTATATATGTATAGCAGCTGATATAGTGAAATCATCGAGTCATGAACCCTTTCACTATTCTATAGATGACATATTTGAAGGGAAGGTAGTTTTTTAATGTTAAAAGCTTGGAATGTGGGGGAAAGCATTAGATATTTCATTCCATATCTTATCCATAATTTTGTAACTTAGTTCATGTAGTGTAATTTTGCAACATATCTTATGTAAGAAATACTTCTCTTAGACTAATCTCACTTTTTACGTTATGTGGTTTTTGTTATCTATCTTCATGTATACTTTAAGTTCCCTTTTTGCATATCCTGATTTTGTGACCTGTCTACTGTAATTGTAGTACTTCTTGTACTCGGTTCAAGGTCTGCCAGTACCGTGACTTAAACGGGCACTTAGAACGGGAATTATATGTAACCTTCTGTTAGTTATAGTTTCTTTCCAAATTGGAAAAGCAAAAGATTTGTTTTTATTTTTTTTCCTCTTATAACTTCTGTTTTTAATTTATTTTCATGGTTTACAGGTTAAAGTACCACTATATGGTTGTGACTGTTATGCTTATGCCCTTTTGGCCTCTGGTTTTGTGGATCTTGTTATTGAGTCTGGTCTCAAGGTGAGTTGTACTCTTTTTGTCCTATGTATGTCATTAAATATATAATCTTGACCGAGCTTGTCCATGGGAATGGGGAAGTCCCATGGAAGATGACTGTTCTAAGCAATTATGTTGGGGGACGAGGTGCTTATAACCCAAACAGTGGTTTGAACAAATATGTAACTGGAATTTTTTCAAAGAAAAGTAAATGGACTAGTGGAATGCTCACTTTTGTGTGAAACTACCTCCACATGTTGGAGATGCTTTATCCAGAATTCAGTCCTGTGTTTTATAGACTCCGTTATCCAAAATAACATTAGTAACTCTCATCAAATTTTTTGACACTGCATGTGAAACATTTTAGTCACGGTTTATTGATTTTTCCTCTTATTTTTTTATGTTATATTTTAACATGATTATAACTACTTTTTCAGCCATATGACTTCCTTTCATTGATACCGGTGATAGAAGGTGCTGGAGGAGTAATAACTGATTGGAAAGGAGATCAACTTCATTGGGAAGCATCATCAGATTCACAGGCGGGAAGTATGTGTTTTTTCCCCCAATCACATGCCCCATGTATTATTTAGTGCGACTTGAAGAATCAAGTCAATAACCTAGTTTTTATGTCATTGTAAGCCATGGACGGCCAACCCTTTAAATATCTTTCCTGTTCTATTTCCAGGTTTTAATGTAGTGGCAGCTGGAGATAAACAGCTTCACCAACAAGCACTCGATTCTTTACAATGGCAATAATTTTGCGGAGCATTCGAGTGGAGTCAAAGATGGAAGCATTCTTCAGCTATGACATTGGTATTTGTGTAGAGAAGAACACTGACATCCAGGGACAAGATGGACTTGAAAGAAGATTTAGGAGCAATAATTCTTCAGAGGAACTCTATCTTCTCATGACATATTCAATGAAGCGATAGCAAGGCAACGGGTACTTAAAAAACGCGAGCATATAGCTTCTTTGCCTTGAGTTAGTTTAAGTTGATACATCCTTGATACTTAATTTCCTATATGCTAATATACTTCCTCGTGCAAATTGGTAATCTGAATTATATTATTCTCTATGATATGACCGCTTTCGCGTGTATTCATAGCATTCTGGATTCACATACTGAGCATCTTCTGGTTTTTATTATCGTATTTTTGAACTTTATATGTGAAGTAATCTCCTTGAGTTAGGTCTCTTATCCAGTCTTCATGTGAAATGATCTCGAGTTAGATATCTATATCTAATCCAGTATTCATTTTATATGTCAGTTTGCTCCCACTTCTTTTAGTGCTTTCAACGATAAGACGTTGGAGATGGATCAATTGTTGGAGTGCATTTATTAAATTGTGGCTGAGATAATGCTATTTGAGTTGTGTTGCGCGCGCGCGCACATATATATATAAGGATGGTGGTCTCGGGACTCTTAGAACACTCCATAATTAACCATAGGAAAGTCTTTACCATTAGACTATTCCCTTGAAGTTAAATTATATTGGACTTTTATGAGTTATCATTTCCTACTTAATTTTTTTTTACCCGGTACTTAATTTATCGATAGCTCTATTAAAATTTTGGCTTCAAATTTATAGGTAGACGAGGCAAACTGTTCTCCCCAAAACCTAATTCAGCTTATAGCTGCCTTTACGTTTGAAAGTTCAGATCTTACTTCTTATTAAGGTGAATTACTATCAACCTTTCTTTAGTTATAGCATTGTTCCCTAATAATTCAAAAATTACACTTGTTACACTTTTTGTTCAACTGCATCAAAAGAGAGTTCGATTTAACATTTTTACCACTCAATTACTTTATATGAAAAGTAGCATTAAAAGTGAAAAGAGGAGCAAATTTGGTATTTTGTAATCTAAATTTATGCTGCGTTTGGAAATTGGAACTACGGAATCAACTGTTGAAATTGGAATTGAAAAAAAATTAATTCTAACTTTATACTTTTTTTGTTATGATGACCACATGAGACAAGGTTAATCATTTTCAGTTCACACTTTTAATAGCAAATCTAGCTCTCTCTAAATTTTTTCTTTTTCCTTACAAAAACAAGGGAGCAATTTCAACCACTTATTTGGAAGAAAAATTAAATTGTTTGGTAACATAGAATATTGTGGTTTACAAAGTAATTTCAAAAGAGACCTTCCGAAAAAAGAGAAGAAAAAAAGAAAGTAATTTCAAGAGAGAGAGAAAAGATGGTGTTTGACCATGTCCAATGTGTAAAGGGTTGGTTGGTTTCTTTTCTTATGTTTCTAGTTACTAAAAATAGGCGCCAAAACCTGTTAACGACAAAAGGTTCCTTGGCATTGTGAGAGTTTTGGCCACCCAACGGCTCTCACATTATTCCTCTTCTCCACTGATAATTTTTTATTTTATTTTTTTAAAAAGAAAAAAAATAGAGCTAAAAAGTTAAGAAAAAACCAAATTATAATCAGCAACACATCCCATTTCAAATCCTTGAATTCCTCTAGTCTTTCTTGATTCATTCTCCTCACCCAGGAGGGCTGGATATGGAGAAAAAACCAAACTAGAGGACCCCCCAAATCTCAATCTTTTGTATTGTCTACAGTCCTCATTATCTATATCTCCATATATCTATCAATGACAATCCTCCTGGTTCTTTCCTACGCCTTTCTTGTCGCCACCACCTCGGCCGCCCCCACCCCTCCCTCCTCCTCCTCCTCCTCCTCCTCCTCCGGTACCTTCAAACCACAAGACAACTACCAAATCGACTGCGGCGCCACCTCTCAAACCACCCTTCCCGACGGGAGGGTTTTTACATCCGACCAAGATTCTAGCAAATACTTCAACTCAAAGGGACGTGATATCCTAGTGTCCGATGAATCAGCCGACGTTCCTCTTCCCATTTATAAGAGTGCCAAGGTTTTCGACACCGATGCCACTTACACATTCCACATGACTCGCCCGGGTTGGCATTGGATTCGCCTCCATTTCTATCCGGTCAAGAATAATCAGCACAATCTCCAGAGTTCAAAGTTCACCGTCACCACGGACACTTTAGTCCTCCTCCACGAGTTCAATGCCGGTGATGCCGCCAAGTGGACCGTTAAGGAATACCTTGTTAATGTCACAACGGAGCGGTTCTCAATCAAATTCGTCCCCATGAAAAGCTCCACCGCCTTTGTCAATGCCATTGAGATGGTTTCCGCCCCTGACCTCCTCATCTCCGACCTCGGCTCCACCCTCTCCCCAGTGGCCCAAATCACTGGCCTGTCCATTAATTCTTACCACACTCTATACCGCCTCAATGTGGGTGGACAGGACGTCACCTCGGCCAATGACACCCTCGGACGAACATGGACGTCTGATGAGCCTTACCTAAAGGACAAGGCTCTATCTAGCACTGTCTCTGTTGCTCCTAAAATCATTGAATATCCACAAGGAGAGTCACCTTTGATAGCACCTCCTTCGGTGTATGCATCGGCTGCACAGATGGGCGATGCAAGCACCACGAGGCCTAATTTCAATGTGACATGGAACCTACACGTTGATACCTCATTTGGGTACCTTGTTCGTCTCCATTTTTGTGATATAGTTAGCAAATCTCTCAATGACCTCTACTTCAATGTGTACATTAATGGGATGATGGCAATTTCTGCGCTCGACTTGTCATCCCTCACTGGAGGCTTGGCAATGCCTTACTATAAAGACGTCGTTGTGAATGGTTCTGTGATATCTAGTACACTTACTGTTCAGATTGGTCCGTCGAATCAAGACACCGGATCAAAAAACGCCATCATTAACGGGCTTGAAGTGTTCAGGATGAACAACTCGGTTAATAGTCTAGATGGAGAGTTTGGCATTGATGGCAAGAAAGCTCCTGGTGCCTCGCAAGGCACAGTGGCTGCAGTCGGTTTTGCAATGATGTTTGGAGCCTTTGTGGGTTTGGGCGCAATGGCGTTTAAGTGGAAGAAGAGGCCTGTTGATTGGCAGAAGAGGAGTGATTTCTCGTCATGGTTGCTTCCAATTCATGCCGGAGACTCGAGCTTTATGACAAGCAAGAATTTGGGGTCTCGAAAGAGTGCATTCTTTTCGTCCACAAACGGACTAGGACGATATTTTTCTTTCTCGGAGTTGCAAGAAGCAACTAAGAATTGGGATCCAAATGCAGTGATTGGTGTTGGTGGTTTTGGCAATGTGTATCTTGGCGAAATTGATGACGGGACTCAAGTTGCTGTTAAGCGAGGCAACCCACAATCCGAACAAGGCATGAATGAGTTCCAGACAGAGATTCAGATGTTGTCAAAGCTCAGACATCGCCATTTGGTGTCATTGATAGGCTACTGTGATGAGAACACAGAGATGATATTGGTTTATGAGTACATGTCTTATGGACCTCTAAGGGACCATCTTTATGGGACGGACTTGCCGGCTCTGTCATGGAAGCAGAGGCTAGAGATATGCATTGGGGCAGCTCGCGGCCTTCACTACCTCCACACAGGCTCAGCACACGGAATCATCCACCGTGATGTCAAGAGCACAAACATTTTGCTGGACGACAACTTCATCGCGAAAATGGCTGACTTTGGGCTGTCCAAAGATGCACCCACTGGCACGGGGCAAACTCATGTGAGTACTGCGGTGAAGGGAAGCTTCGGGTACCTTGACCCCGAATACTTTAGGAAGCAGCAGCTGACTGACAAGTCGGATGTGTACTCATTTGGGGTCGTACTGCTAGAGGTGTTGTGTGCACGACCTGCCATCAACCCGGCACTACCAAGGGAGCAAGTGAACTTGGCTGAGTGGGTAATGCAATGTAAGCGAAAAAGTCTGCTCAACAAGATCATTGATCCCCGACTTGTTGGTGCCATTAACCCTGAATCCATGAAGAAGTTTACGGAGGCTGCAGAGAAGTGCTTGGCTGACTATGGTGTCGACAGGCCTTCTATGGGTGACGTGCTGTGGAACTTGGAGCATGCTTTGCAGCTGCAAGAGGCTTCCCCAGAGAAGTCAGAGGACGAGAACAGAGCATCTGCAGCCTCTGCCTCTCCAATTATGGTTGCTCCTACGGCTACTTCAACATCCGATAACCGGCCCAATTCCTCCCCTGGAGAGAGCAATAAGCCGGAAGAAGTTAAGGGCGTTGATGAGCATTCGGGGACTGTAACATTCTCCCAGTTCACTTCTCTAAGTGGTAGATAAACAGAAGCTCAATTGACAATTGAGTATTCAAAGTTTGTATATATTAGTACATACAATATATATCACATGAAGGTTTTCAAGGGGGATGGTGGATTTGCCCTTTCTGCTCCATGAATTAGTGTGAGGTAGGTAGCAGTTAGGCATTTCTTGATTGTAACACATTTCCTACACAAAGTTAAGTAGCTATCATGTTTTACACAATATATTGTACACTACTATATTATCACATAATTTTTCCTTCTATGTGTTTCTGTATCCTATCTCCCTTTCATGGTTTTGTGATGTATAGTTGTTTGGATTTAAGTGCAGCATTATTTTTTAGGGTTCTGAGCCAAAAACACCACATGGTGTGCCTATAGAGTGTATAATCCCTTATACATTAAAAATTCCTAATATTTAATTTTTGAGTAAACAAGGGCTTGAATACTGAAAAGACTAAAGTGTCCCTCTATAACTGAATAAAAAAAAGAATTAAATATGAAATGACTAAAGTGTCCCTCTTTTTATTATTTATTATTTTATATATATATAAGGATATTATTGGAAGAGAATGGTATTTTAGAAATTTTATATCTTAAAAATGTCATGTGCAATGCACATGATTAAATTTGTAATCAAACAGTGACTTCAAGCCCTTCTTTGATCATGTTTTCAAACTTAACATACAAAAAAAAAAAAAAATAAAAAAAAACTGATATTTGTCCAAAATTTAAACATTAAGGGTGTTTTTCTCACTTTGCCCTTATTTTAATTCTATATACTAGTTATAAATACATATACGTGTATTTGTGTGTGAGTGTGTGCCAAGTTGTATTAGTTTTGTAATTATGCTCCACATTAGACTGTAAAAATTTAAAAGCAACTTGATAGGAGGACAACTTCTGATTTCTTCTTGAGACAAGCCTCAGTCTCTTCAAGCTTTGGCTTGCTTACACTAGAGCAATAACTTGCCTCTGTATGTTTGTGACAAAGATGGGATGATTTAAAAAACAAGAAAGATAGTTGAGTTGGGAATTATATGCTTCATGGTATTTAAGATAAACAAATATTATACTAATATAATTATGAGATGCTCAAAATAATTAATAATATGCTCATTACTAATTAGTTAAATATTTAATTAAATATGCAAATAAAAGCAATAATGAAATAAAAAACTTGGACAGAGGTTAATATTTGATATTATATCCTTAACGTAATTTACGTTCCATGTGCTAAATGGTCAGCATGGTATTTGTCTCTCAAGATACAACGGTTTTCATTCACTAGAAAAATTGCAAGCACAGAGAGTAAGGTGTGCAAGCAAAAAATATCTACAAGGTGCAGTGCATGACGTTACATGCTGCCAGAAAGGGAAAATCATTCGAATCCAATACGGATGAGGAGAAGCTGTGTTTTTGTCAATACAAATCCAAATAGGTGAGTCATTCAATGATGAAGAAGCATGAAAATTGTGACTGCGCAATTTAGTTGAATACTAATAAGGAATAAATTATGTTTTTGTTAGTACAAATCTAAAAAAGCTAGGCATTCAATGATGAAGAAGCCAGAAAAATGAGAGTAATTTCGTTTAACTATTTACGATCACTCTATATTTTTAAACTCAATCATGTACAAAAATTAGGACACACCCACATTCTGCATATATAATGTTCAAACACAATTATTTTAGGACCTTGGTAAAAAGTAATTATGATTATTACAATCGATTTCATTACATTGTAGCGATATACATCCGCTTCTGCATCCGCATCTATAACTATGAACTATAATCTCAACACATGTCAGCACATGGATGAATAGAGTTAGTTAGATATCCACCATCAAGAAAAGAAAAATTTGGACACACTTTAGAGGTGGGTACAACTTGTAATGTTTCTGATTTTTTTATTTTCTATTTTCGGAAATTTTTTGGGATTTTTTTCGTTTTACCTTGTTTTATATGCCGGACACCGTAGAGTATACCGGGTAAGTTCCGAGAGTTGGTTAGGGCATTTTTTTTGAGTTCGGGGTTCTTAGAAATGCATTGTTGGCCATTTCGGCATTTTTCAATTTTTCGGGTCGAAAGGTCCTAGGCAGGACCTGCAACCGGTTTTGTCATACACAGGAATTATTTTCAGGGTCGTTGCATTTCGTACACTATTATTTGATGCATATTTATGTGATTATGTGTTATTTAAGTGTTGTTGCATATGTGTATGTATATATGTTTATATAAGTGACAAAATGAAGATATTTTGATTACGTGAGACCCGCTTGGACCAAAGGTGATTATATATCACCACACTAATCATATTTCAGCCAGAATCTCCTCTCTCTTACACAGCTTTTCTTTTTCTCTCTACAAGGGTTTTTTTTTTTTTTTTTTTTTTTTTTTCACCAATTCAAGCTTAGATCTCTACTATTCCATTTAGAATTTGACTTTGCCACTTAAGGCAAAATAACAAGCATGACGAGAGTTTCGATTTGATCGGAACAAAGTTTGATTTGGAGAACTTTGAATTTTTGAGATTTGGGATTGATTTGGGGATTTCTTTGGTTTTTCTCTTCTATTGAGGTAGGGGTTCTCATAACTTTATCTTTTATTGAGCAAATCCATCTTTTTCCTCTTTAAATTTTGAGATTGAAAACTATGAAGTGAATTTGTTTTCTTGTGAATGTTAATAATGTGTTTAAATCTTAAAGCATGACTTGCTTTCAATTTTATGTCAAAGGCATGCATGATTTTATTATATAGAAGTTATGTTGATGTATAATTGATAACATGATATTGGTGTGTAAATGATTCTATGTTGAGCATGCCTATAGTTGGTTCTTGTAAGAAAATTACTTTACTTGAAATAATGTTATGAAGGATGTTATTGTCGTATTAAAATTTTAAAGCATGCTATGATTATAATTGATTACTATAAAATGCCTTGTTTATATTTATTGAATTGGGAATGCCATGTTGATGTTAGTATTACTATATTGATGAGTTTGAGGTTAAGAGGATGAAAAATGGTGCATTGCATGACAAAGTAAGAAAAATGGGACTTGAAAAAGGTTTAAAAAGTGAAGTTTTCTTAATGAGAAGGTTTTTATAAAATGAACCGGCTTTTGCAAGTCCAAGGCTAACTTGACCTAGAGGGAGCGCGGCCCGGTGTAGGGCATAAAAAAGTTGATACTAGGCCCCCAAATGGTTGCCAGATTTGGAACCAGAGATAACTATCAATCTTGCCTCGGTAAAGACAGTTAGCGGTTTTTGAAAAGTGCAAGTTGGGTCAGTAAAGACCAGGCACGGGGAAAGGGTGCATTACAATACATATCATGCACAGTATTCATTTAACTGTATTGTGTGGTTGATGGAAATGCTTGTTTATGCTGTAAATGTTATATGAATTCCCAATTTATGATCCTGATTTCCTCCGTATCCCCATTATGTGTTACGTGGCTCAAGGGAGTCCAAAGTTGACGCTTTATGTGACTTTTACTGAGTCGTTATGCTCACCCATTGTAATACCCCTAGTTTTCAAAAGAATATAATTGGAATTTAATTTTAATTTCTTGTGCATTTTAATGGAATAGGTGGCTATGAGTTTCTATTTGCATAATTGTTTATTTGAAATACGTGATTTAATTGTGTGTTTTATTTTGTGCGATAGCGTAAAGTTGCATGATTTGTTATAAGTATATATTTGTTATGAGATGATGTGTTTGTTTAAATGTAATTTTATTTGCTAGATTAAGTGTGTATTTTATTTTTAATTTTAATTTAAAAAAGAGTTGGATTTGGATAGTAGGAGTAGACCATATAAATGGGTTACATGAACTACTTGGATGGACCTACATGAGTAAGGGTTATGACCCATGGGTAGTGGAGGTTATTATTGTTATTATTCTAATTAATAATGATAAGGAGGATTTAGATATTTATATAAATATATATATTTATATTACATTTATAAATGGTCACATATATATGTAGATACGTAATAATACATGATAGTATTGGTAATACTATATAGTAGTATTATGACTTATATACATATTTATTTTATATTAGATTTTTTTTTTCTTTCTCTTTTCCGTCTCTACTTAAAATTGGAATTAGGGTTGTATAAGCCTATATATACATATTAGGTTTGTCTGTCAAGGGTTGGAAGAAACCCTAGTCACGCCACTTTAGAGACAGAGAGTTTTAGAGAAAAATAGAGAGAACGAGTTAGGGTTTGGCCAAGAACAAGGGCTGAACCGAGGAGGGGTATTAGACGCTTGCTTGTGGGTTGAACCTAGGGCAACAAAGGAGTTGACGACAATCAAAGGTCGCCGGAAAGTCTAGACAGAGGATGGTTAAAGGTTTCAATTCAAAACTTAGAGGCAAGTTATATTTCTTGCTCTCTCTCTTTGACCTGTGTTCTGTGCATGCCTAGATAGTCTCCAGGAACTTAATGGATATTAAAATTGATTATGTATGCATTGAACAAATTGTTTCATATTCTGCTTTAAATCTTGTAATGATGCATACTTTGATTTAAAAGTTTTTGGGAAAGTTTTGGGACATAGAAGGACCTCCGGAAATCTAAATAAGACATTACAGAGTGTTTTAACATCGTCGGAGGCAAAGACAATGATATGAAGCAGGGACACAGTCAGCTCCCAAGGGAATGGAGCCGGCTCCCTAAGATTTTTTGGCCACGGCTCTCTGTGAGAGAGAGAGCCGGCTCCATGGATTGAGGGAGCCGGCTCCCTAAGTCACAGAGCCGGCTCCCAAGGTAGGGGAGCCGGCTCCCATTGCTTGAGAGCTGGCTCTCAACTTTTGAGAGCAAGCTCTCATGCTTAAAGGTGTACTAGACGTGGTTTTGGGTACGGTTTTGATATTTTTGGAGTTCTTGGACTGTGCTGGGTTATTATTAAGGATTCTAAATCTTGTTTTATGATATATTAAAACTCATATTGCATAATTAACATCTGTGTGCTAGTGGATTTAACAGTATGGAAGTTTAAACAATTTTGCATGCTGTTAACGGATGTAAAAGATTTAATTGTCTAGTTTTCTTTTAGTAGTTTAAATGACTAGAACATGATTTTTAGATCTATATTGGATGCATAATAGGGTCATATACTTATTAGATTTTATTATGCTTATTTTGGATTTTAATTGATGAACTATTAAATTCTGTTCTGTCAATTACATGGATGTTATTCTGGATTTTAATTGATGAACTATTAAATTCTGTTCTGTCAATTATATGGATGTTATTCTGGATTTTAATTGA